TCTTCAGTCCACCGTTATTTATGCCCTTGGGCCTGAGATCTGGATTGGCTGTCCTTAGGTCCCTGGCTAGAAAAGGAACTGTTTTGTCTATGTATTCTGTGAAGAGAGCTTACTATCCCATAATATGAAGCCTAGACTTACACAGTAAAGCAGAACAGAATCTGAAAAATATAAAAGCTAAAACCTGAGGGATCACGAGGGTTGCACATCTCAATACTCTGGAAACGCTGTCCAGCTTGAAAAAGCTGGTATCCAACCTGTAAGCAGGGATCTGGGAAGTGCTTATAGGGATCTTTGTATCCTTCTCCAGGAATTCCTTCTCCAGGCAGCTTCAGGAAAAAATCTACTTAGTGTTCTTTTCTGGGAGAGGTGGTAATGAATACCAGAAAGTCCCAGGATTTGTTCCCTGAGAGCTGAGTGAGAGGATACTGCTAACTGCAGTCAGGATACTGCTAACCATCAGCTGTATGGTTAGAAGTACATGAACTACCAGTACTGTAATCTGCACTGTCTTGCTCCATGCTCGCTCCATCCTGGTTCTCCCCTGCCCCACAGGGAGAATTAGTTAAAGATCAGTCTATGTGCTGGCACCAGAGGCCTGAGCAGCAAGTGAGGAACATTTTCTGCCTCTTTGACCAGAAAGAGGACCCAGACCTCAGTTCCAGCAGCCTCTTAAATCTGCTGTCCATGTGCGCTGCCCAATGTACATGGGTGGTCTGCATGCCCCTGCTGTGGGCACCCTGGCATCTTGCTGTCCCACAAGCAATGAAGTGAGCTGGGGATCCCTCAGGTCTGGCTTAAGGCCTTACCCAGTGCTGCACACACAGGATTTTCAGGTCCTTGGGCTCTGTCCATATGGGCTTACACAGCTCAAATATGGCTGTGCAAGGGAAGACCCTCTGCACTGGGGCTGATCCTTCAATGCAGGGAGAAAGCTCATGCTTTAGCTTTTTAGTCAAAAAACATCCACAGAAAGCATATTGTTAAGGGACTGGGCAAAACATTAAATTTTCAGACATTATAAAACACACAAATATGCCTTTTAATTATTTGGAGATGATAGTGCCTCTTATTGCAATGTAAAAGCAATCCTGTCTTACTAACAAAATATTGGTATATTTTTTGTCACTTCTTCCCCTTTCCCCCCCACCCCCTCATTCCTTATAGTTACTCTAAGTTACTTTTTCAACTGTTTTGAAAATGGTTGCCTGTCCAAACAGCAGTTTTTATGAATGAGGAAGAAATGTGTTGTCATCCTCTTCCTGTCAGAGGAACAGGTGAGAAAGCTGAGCCTGTAAGGCATACTTCAGGTTTATTTGTTTTATTGGGTTGAAAGTCTGCCTTGTATGGGTGTGCATCGTGGTATGTTGCCAGTGGCATTTTTAGGGCAGTACAAGAGAGATCCAGAGGCCCTAAAATCACAGGATCACAGAACAGTTGAAATTGGAAGTGATCCCTTGGGATGATCTCATCCAATCCTTCTTCTCAAAGCACGTTCAACTAGAAAAGTTGCCCAGGACCATTCCTCCAAGGATGAAGACTCCATAATGTTTTGGGTAACTGATGCCAGTGTTGGATAACCCTCACAGAGAAAAAGTGTTTTATTGCATATAAATGGAGTTTTCAGAGTTTCAGTTTGTACCCAGTGCTTCTTGTCCAGTTGCTGGGCACTGCTGAGGAGAGTCTGATTCTGTCTTCTCTACTACTGCTCTAATACTGAGGTATTAGTATGCATTGATAAGATCCTTCTGAGCTTCTCTAGCTGAAGAGTCCTGGCTTTCTCAATGATTACTCCTGTGTACTTGGTGAATCCTTTCTCCAGAAGGGGCTTGAAACTTCAGACCCACAGTCTCTCCCAGCTCGAAAGCAGTGTAGGTAGAATTACCTCGCAGCCAGGCAATTTAGTTCCTTTTGGAAAGATAATAGTCCTGCTGTAAGAAGCAACTGCTGCATACTGCTGCATCTGGGCAATATAGTGATTCCTCCCCCCATCCTGATGTGAGTAAACCTAACCACTAAAACTGTAATGAGCACTGAAATTGTTTGAGAACACTGCACCTCTGGGGCTGTTTGGGGAGTTGCATATAACCTCAACTTGCTTTCTGCCTGTGAACATCCCTTCTTCCTAGATCAGCTTTCAGGATTGCTGCTTTCTTTTTCAAATAACTTGCATTTCTTTGTTTTTGTTTGGCACCGGTAGCTCTTACTGTATAAAAAAACCTTTTGCATCTAATGTTTTCTGTGGAAGAGGTTTATTCAGCTAAAAATATGGATACATCAGAGTTAACATAGGTAAAACATGCTAAGGTAAAAGAGAGCAACAAAGATGACTATGAAAGCAACTGGTGATCTGCCAGGACTCTTACAGGAATGTGTATTTGTCCAAGGTGGGGTTAGCTCTGAGCTGTGTCAGCAGAACTGGGAGGAGGCAGGAAATATGATAGAACTTGTGTCCTAGAACTGTTCACAGCCCAAATCTTCCAGTGTGACACAGGATGTGAGCTTTGTGGAAACTTGGTATTGACCAGAGTTTGTAAAGCTCCAGTTTGACGGCCCAGCATCGAGCCATATGGTTCCTTAGCCTTTGATAGATATCTCAAGAGGATGCAGTATCATGCCAGCAACATGGACATTTTGGTTTAAAATTGTTTAGCTTGTCAGGTGACGATGCACTTGGCTTCCTGCCATTGAGTGCATGTATGCTTCCCTTAACCCTTCAACCATGTGAGTGAGCTGTCTAAGCCTTGCTGTAGCTCAGAAGCTCCTTGGTTGGGTTCCCTTGTCAAATTGGAGTATTGTTGATCCAGCATCACTGATAATACTGTTCACCAAATGCACATTAAAGCCATCAATATGGGGCAAAATCATGCCCTTTGCCAGTATTTGCCTATATTCCCAGCTGTTGTGTGAGGTGCTCTTCCACCCATAATCTTCCTGCCTTTCTTTTCATTTCTACATTTCTTTTCATTTGGGTAGTAGGATCTTCTCACTGCACTCACTGTATGCCTTTTACTCTCTAAATCTTGTGGGATCTGGATTTAATAGTCTTAGTTACCTTCTCTGACCAACTCTGCTAGTTTCCTATTTGAAAATAGCAAGTTGAAGGACAGGATTGTACCCCTCTGCTCTTGTGAGACCTCACCTGGAACAATGCATACAGTTTTGGTGCCCCCAGCATAATAATGACATGGAACTGCTGGAGCAAGTCTAGAGGAGGGCTGTGACATTGCTAAAAGGACTGGAGCACCTTCCCTATGAAGACAGGCTGATTAAATTCGGGCTGTTCAGCCTGGAGAAAAGAAGACTGCATGGGAACCTCAATAGCAATCTTCCAGTATCTGAAGATGGAGAAAGTGTCTTCATCAGGAAGTGCAGTGGAAGGACAAGGACTAATGCATACAAACTGAAAAAGGGGAAACTTAGATTAGATCTTAGGAAAAAAATCCTTTCCTGTGAGGGTGGTGAGATACTGGAACAGGTTGCACAGAAAAGCTGTGGATGCCCCATCCCTGACAGTGTTCGAGGCTGGTTTGGGTAAGTCCTTGAGAAATCTGGTGTCGCTGCCTGTGTCAGGGGGGTTGGTACTAGATGGTCTTCAAGGTCCATTCCAACCTAAACCATTCTATGACTCTGTGGCTCTATGATTTTATGAAATCAGTTAAATAAGTTCCATTAAACCTCACTGCTCTCTGTGAGAAGGGATTCTTGTGTTTAGCACACTTTGTGTGTTGCCAGAACCCCCGGCCTGGTTCAGGGGTTCTGTGTGGTGGTAATGTCTCTCCTCCAACCTGTGCTTCCAAAGGAAAACTCTGCAACCTCTTGTTGTTCGGTCTCAAGGCAGTTTATTGTTAGTTATCTAAAAGATTGTCTTCTCGGGCTGCGGCTGCTTGGTCAGCGGCCCAGGCAGAGGCACACACACACCCTGATATCCTCTCTGTCTGCTTCTCTCTCCCCACCCAGGGCTGCTGCTATCTTTTTATGCTGTATTATGTATTACATGTTTACAGCTTTTCCCCAATATCTACTACCTATGTTATAAGGTGCTTTTCTACTCTAAACCAATCCATAAATGCCAGCATCACCAAGAACATGGAGGCAAGGAAGAAGAAGAAGGAAGAACAGGATCGGCCCACTTTCCTGCATCTTAGAATTTCTGACCCCCATGTACAAAGTAAAAAACCCCCTGTACAAAGTAAAAACCCCCCTGTACAATACTAAAAAATTTTCCCTCTGCTTTGTAACTACTTCTACTGTACTATCTAAGCCTTTGTGACTGCTTGTTCCACCTCCAAAGTTGGTAACTCATTCCATGGCTCAAACTCAAAATCACAGCTGTTTCCAGCTGCCTGCCAGGGTCTAAAATGCTTCTGACCAAGGCCTGGAACCTCCAAAAATGTCTGAGGGGCATTTTGAGTTCCAACAATGTGTCATTTAAACACCATTTAAAATGCTGTCTGTCAGAGGGCTGTAGTGCAGTTATAAACCAGACATGCAGAACATGATTGTCTGTGGAAAAAACATGAACAGGTGACTTTAACTATACCTATGATCTGTCCAACTTATTTTTTCTGCTCATGTAGGCAAAATTTAGATTTAGATTTAGACTGGCTTGTTCACTCACCATCTTTCCTGCTTTCTATGTGCAGGATGTTGTATTTTTCATGCTTTTTGAACTCTATCGTACCAGAATTCATCTCCTCTTAAACTTGCTGCCATGTGGCCCTGCCCCAGCGATAGAGACTGCTGGCACATACACAGTCCAGCTGGCTGGTGATGCTGAGAGCTGTCACTTCTTCCCTGCACTCTCCTTTCTCCATGAGAGATGTGCAACAGGGTTATGGCAAAGGGGCGAACACGTGTCTACAACTTGATGGCTGAGGTTTGGTGTGAGCAGCCCAAGTGGGGAGGGTGAGCCTGTGGTGGGAAGAGGGGAGTGGGGTTCTGCAAGCCTTGCTGGGATGGCCTGTCCTTATGCTTTGGGACGTTGTGTGTCCTTGCAGATGTCGTGGCACCCACAGTACCGCAGCTCCAAGTTCCGCCATGTATATGGCAAAGCTGCCAGCAAGGAGAAGTGCTACAACTGTGTGCCCATCACCCTCAATGTCCACGACAACCACTTCTGCGCTGTGAACCCCAGCTTCATCGCGGTGGTGACCGAGTGCGTGGGCGGTGGCGCCTTCCTCGTCATTCCCATCAAGCAGGTGAGCTCCCCAGGGCAAGCTGGCTTTTGAGAGTGCTTCAAGAGACTGGAGCAGGGACAGGCTTTCTAGGGAGCTAGATCGCAGAGGATAGTCAGTTAATGCTGTCGCTTGAGTTGCAAAATGATGGAAGAGGCCCCAGTTGTCCTAGCAGTTGACTCCTGTCATTTGTGTCTTTATATGTTTTTGCATTGCTGCTTGCAGATTTTTAACACGTTGCTTTATTTTACAACTCATTTGCCTTTCTTGAATAATCAGCAGAATATGTTGTTCAGATGTTTATCTCCTGTTCAGATGTTTATCTTCAATTGCTCTCCCCTGGGAGAAACTGCAAATCAAAAAGTATTTAGTGGATAAAGGGGGTGAAACCAGAAAGGTGTTTTAGTGACATGGATTTCACTGTGACCAAAGGAGAATATGGAATGTTTTGTTCTACCATATCCTTTGTGAAAGATGGAGACACAGTTATCAGGCATTGAAGGTCTCAAACTTCAAGCAGTGATGCTGTGAAGACTTTCCTTTCAGAAACAAATCTCATGTATATGAGTTTTCATGACCTAGGATCTGGTGAGAGGGAGCAGCTGGCCGTCTGATGTTTATTGCTTCAGTAAAATTAGGCATGCACTGTTGTGGATTAACTTCAGTATGAGATTATGATCTCTCTGGAATCAGGACAGAACAGATGAAAGGCAAGACTTCAGCCTTTAATTAAAAGTTAATTGATGGTGTTATTGCAATGCCACTTTTTCAATATATATTTGCTAAGGAAGAAAGTGAACTGGTTGTGCTTGAAGAACCTAGCACAGTTTCTGGACATTCTGGACTTTGTTAATTCATTCCTTCAATGCTGGTGCTGTTTAGAGACTGTCCTTCTAAAATTAACCAGTACCCTGTTTTTCTTGAATGGTTCACTTCTGCCCCAGAAATGGTGGTCTGTTGAGGCTCAACAACCTGTCTTTATCACAGAATTTCATCTGTAGGCAGACAGCTGTTGACTGTGGGACGTGGTGTGGGACTAAGCTCTCGAAGTGCTGGCAAAAGTAGCTGAAGGTGTTTGTACTGCTTACTATTAATTTTTCTGTCTTCTCACCTCTTCTCAGCTTGGCTAGTCTTTGTAGTAATTTTTCCTTCTTACACCTGCTCAGATACTCCACCCAGTTTTGAAATATTGCTTGCAGAAATGAAAGGCACAGTAGAACTAAAAAAGATACAGAAAAGGATAATTAAAGTATGTCATTGAAAATGTGAAAGTACGTCATATGAGGAAAGACTTTGCAGGTCAGGTCTCAGTCAGTCTGGGAGAAAAAGCAAGATGTATAAAGCTGTGAGGAGAAGAAGTTTAAGAAGAAACTCTTTTTGATTTGTTTGGTGAAAGGGCCAGGGAGCAGACTTAACAGCAGATGTAAATGCTGCTGCAGTTCAGATGTGGGGCTCACTGTTCTGGATGCTGATGAGTCTTGAAGAATTAATGACTTCAAAGTGGAGCTATGGACAGGAGTTGGTCCCTTGAGAGTTAACCTTTGGTTGTGAATCAGAGAAATTAGGTGCTTCTCACAGCTGTTCTCTGAATAGGGGTTCCTGACCTGTGCTGGCGGGTAAAGCAGCCTCAGCCTTCCAAAGAAAGGGATTCCATGAGTCAGGACCCGTGATACCAGCTATTTTGTTTCGTCTGATACACTTCCAAAGTGGTACCATCTGGTGCAAAGCAGAAACTTTTGACTTGTGCTTCTGATGGTGTATTTTTTTGTGACTGCCATCTCTTGCTGTGAAGGTGAGCGTGGCAGACAGTGCACTGGACACCTGGCTTGTGGCCTTGGCTGCCAGGGCACAAAGGCAGCCTGTTCTGGAGAGGTGTCTGGGACAGTATTGCCCTCTTAAAATGTACAGCTGACTGGTTATTTTTCACTGTATTCACGGGAAGCAGACATATCCCAAGTGGGACAAAGTGTGGAGGAAGAGCCCAAGAGACCAAGAGGCAGGATGACATTTGGTCAAAGCAAGAGATAGTAGCCAGGACAGGAAAAGCTACAATTGCTGAAGAGGATAAACAACCTGTTCAGGGAGCTGCTCTTGTCCCTCTCTCCAATGAATTTTTTAGTTCATTCTGCATGTGTTGCTGCTAGGGGGGCTGCCTGTCTAAGGATGACCTTGAATGAAGCCTCAGCTTTGCTCTGTTTGACTGCACCTCTGTGCTTGTTTGTTGTACTCCTCTCCTGTTGAGTCACAGACACCAAGGTCTCTCATCTCTCCTTGAATAAATACCACTTCTTTTCTTCTGTACCAGTCTTCTCCAAGAGCCTGGGGGTGGGGCAGGGCTAGGGACAGTGGAGATTATGTAAAGAATGAGTTCTTGTCCCTAGATACTATCCTTTCAGCAGGCCTTTGCACTCAGCCTTATAAGAAATTAGTTGAATATTTGCCATCACTTTGGAAATGGTCTGTTACAGGGTGTGTCAGTGACATCCTGGTGAATATGTGCCTCTGAAACCAGGGTGGAAGGGCAGCACATCTCAGCAGAGAGGGAAGGGGCTGCCACAGTCAGGCTGACTGACTAAATCTTACATGTTCAAGGAGACATGAGCTCAGGGACTGTAATTGAGAGATCAGCTGCTTTCTGAGAGATCAACTGAGATATCACAGTGTGGCCTGGATGCAAGGGAAGTGCACGCACAGCATACCAAGGAAAGATCTTGATTGGGAGGGAAATTTTGTGGCCTTCCTTTGAGAGACGAAGTCCTGCCTTTTTCCTTTCCCGATGACCAGACTCTGTTGAGGCCGCATCTGTCTCTCCTCTGCACCAAAAAAAACCAGTGAGAACGAGGTTCCAAGAGACAGGAGGCTATTTATGCCCAGGTCTGCAATCTCCATTCTTTCAGCGTGTCAGCACCAGATGTGAAAGGGAGGATATTTGTGGCTATGCAAGCTTCACAGACATAAACTCCCCTTTCTTTCTCATGGTCTGTAGAATGAAACTGATGATGACCCCTCTGGCCTTGGGTATCTGACACTTATGTGAGTGCTGTACTGGAGCCCTTTAGGGGAAGAGGTGGGGCTGGCCGACCTCACAGTAATCTACCCTGCACAAATCTGCTCAGAGAGTTTTGACACATGTTCCACTGGAAGTGATTTTTGTCAGCGAGCTCCAAGCTTTTCAGAAGTGCTATAATTTTAGAAAGGGCGTGGTTGAAAACTTATTAATTTTCAAGCTCTGCAGGCAACTGTGGAAGTCAGGAACCACTTCATGGAATGGCAACACATCTAGTTACTGAAATAATTTTTGAGCTGTGGGATGAAATTTCCTCCAGCAATGAAGATCTTCACTTCCACATGCAGATGTGCATCTGAGACCAGCAGCTCTAGCTTTATGTCATATATCTTTGTTGGCTCTTGGGAGGTTAATGTATGGTGAGTCCTGCTCTTGTCCCAGGGTTTGCAATGGGGCAGGTGAGATTGGTGGCTGGGAGAACAAGGGGTCCTTTTCCAAAGCCTGCTGAGGAAGTGGGAGTGGGGTAAGAGAGCTTTGGAGGATGGGTCATGCAATCTGGGCTTAGGACAACCTGGTAGTCTCCCAAAATGGAGTGAGGAACAGACAGTCAGCTAGCTCTGGGAGGGGACAGAATTCCCTTAGGGATCAAGGGAACCCTGTGGATCCAGCTGTCCACCCCTTTCAGCTGTCATCTTAAAACCAAGCTCTGAAGCCTACTAAAGGACACTGTGGGTGGAGGAGTGCTTCTTATTAAAGGCCTTTTATCTTTCTTCTGCCTTCCCAAATCTCTTTGCATTGTCACTATTATAAAAGGGAATTGTTTCAGACTGTATTTTAAAAACCACAGTCTTTTACATTTCAAAGCCCTTTGGATGTTCAGTTTAAAGCAGGTTAGTCCCAGTTTATGCAACAAACTTTCCAGTGAAGCCAGAATAGTTACACGCTGGTGTCCTGTTCTGTTTTCAAAATTGCTAAAACCCTCCCAAATTTAAAAGCTGGGAAAATTATGTCCTATCCACAGCCTGGTTAGGGTGATTCCCCTTGGCTCTTCTCTCCTAAGGCCCACCTCTGGAGAGGTCTAGGGAGTAGTACACCTACAGAAGTGTCTGCTTTCTAGGAGAGCACACATTTGGAATCATTTTGGTCTACAGTTCTTCCAGGTAGGAAGCAGAATTTGGTAAGCACTGCCAGCTTGCCATCATGTCTCCCTTCTTAGGTGACTGACTTTTGCTTTTGAGCTGATGCCTGGGGTGGGTCAGGGGGCTCCCCAGACTTTTACTGCTTCTTACAGAGGGAAGCAAGCGTTACTTCACTGTTAATAAAATAACAACCACCCTTTCTACCACTTAAATATTCAGACTCTACAGCAGAGACCGTGCCGGCAGTGCGGGTTTATTCAATGCAATGCAGCCCCCATCTGGCACAAGGCTCTCAATACACCTTAGGGCACTTGGTGAGGGATTTGTGCGGATGCAGTGCACATGCCACCTAAACATGGCATGGTTTGGGGTTTTTTTTGGCAGTCCAGAATGCTGATTGAATTTAGTGGAGGGCTGAATTTGAACACCATCCGAGGGAAACAGCTTGCCGAACAAAAAATTTTGTAATTTGTAATTTGTGTCACAAAATACCAAATACCTTTTTGCTAAACACAAAACCTAAATAATTTTTTTTTTTTTTTTGCTGCTTGTAGGAAATGTCTTCTAAAGTTGAGTTTGCTGTTGTTTGTCCCCGTTCCACCCCTCTCCCCCCCCGCCCCCCCCCACATCAAAAGATCTTTAAAAAACATCAAAGATTTATCTCATTCATAGGTGTTTCTTCTTCGAATTACGCTTTGGTGTGTGAGCCTAATATTGTCTTCCAAATGTGTAGTCCTGCATGGAAATTTTTTCACAGCAGGCTGTTCTTAGGAAGGCCTGGCAGTCTTTCTTTCCTTTATGCTGGTATCATCAAGACTTGACTAGCAGAGACAAGGAAAACCTATCCTTAACAGACAGAGAGTACCCAGGGCATTTGGAAGACAACGTGTAGAAAGAAGTTTCTTTCTGGAGCTGCCTTGAAAATGTCCTGTAATTCCATGGCTCACCTTAGGTTTGATTATATTTTTTTTTCCAGACAGGCAAGCTTGACCCACATTATCCCAAAGTATGTGGTCACAAAGGAAATGTTCTGGACATCAAGTGGAATCCATTCAATGACTTTGTAATAGCTTCATGTTCAGAAGATGCCACAGTAAGTTTACCACCTTGTATTCTGTGTTAGTACCTGGTTAATATACTTTTTGGAGAATGAAGTTGAAAGAAATCAAAAGCTCATGAATGTGAAATGATGTGAAATGTGAAAGCATGCATAGTTTTATTTAAGCAGTCAGGAAAGAGTAAGATTCCTTTCCTTCTCCTGAGTTCAGACCTGTGTGATACCTTCCAGATAGTATACCAAATCAGTGTAATGAGGAAGATCTATTTTGTGGGGACTTGTGCCTTTTTTTGGTGTGTTTGTGTGATGAAAACAAAATATGAGTTTAAAATGGAATGTCTATTAAAGATTAATCTCTTTGAAACTCTGTCTTTGCTCTAAAAAAACTTCAACACAACATTATCTGGACCAGCTCTTTCAGATTAGTTCTCCTCAGAGCAAGCTTGATCTTGTTCCTGCACTCAGTTGCTCTGTAAACTCATGCTGGATCAGTTGTGGAGGGGACTATGCATTATACAGTTCTGCAGTGGGTGCTTTGGCTGAAGTTAGAGTGATTAAGATGCAGACACTGTAGCAATTGAAAGATTCAAGTCATGTTGGTAAGGGACAATTTAGCTCATATGTCCCTACTGGAAGGTCACTTTCAAAAGGTCTTATAAGGGTATGATGTTGGCATCTTTGATAGTGAGGACATCTGACTGCATGCTTTTTGCCAGAGATCCCATGTAAGATCCCACTGGGTTTTTTCCACTCTGTCATAGAGCATCAGGGAGGTTTTTCCTATTATTTTCTCCAGCCCTGACTTGGTTCACATGCTCTGCCATTTTAGATCTGCCAAAAAGTCACTCTTGATTATAAGCTTTTTTGACTGTGTTTCCTGTTTAGTGACTTGCCTTTGCTTGTTTGGATATTCTGCTGGCTTTTTAAAATATATATGGTTTTTAAAGTCTTCTTTCCGTTTCTGAACTGATGGTAAAGATTTTGTTGTATCTTCCATCCTGTATGCCAGGTTTTCATGCTGTCTCAGGAAGTATGGCATGATATGACTTATTTGTGGCAGAGGGGACCACGTTGGTCACTCTTTTGAGCCTCATATGAGAAATGAATACAATCTTCAAAACATCCCACTGCATTTACAGAATCACAGAAATGTTTGTGTTGAAGGGGAGGTTTCTTTCACCACCCCTCTAGGGAGAGCACCTGTTCCTGTTCTTCACTCCTCCCATGGGGGAATTCTTTTCCTTCCAGTGTAGCTAATGACTGCTGTATCGTGTCCTCCTACTGTGCATTTCAAGACAGAGCCTGGCTCTATTTTCTCAGTAGTCTTGAAGTATTGAAGACTTTTATCAATTTACCTGGAAGCTGTCTCTTCTCCAGGCTGAGAAAGCCCATCTCCCCCAGCTTCTACTCACAGGGTAAAGTGCTGCAGACTCCTGAGCATCTTGGTGGGCCTCTAGCATCTTTCTTGCATTGGGGAGTGCAAAACTGGAGGCACTATCCCCAGCTTTCCTTTCTGGTTTTCTCCAGAAACTTGACACTGGATCATTCCAGAGTAAAGAATGGAAACACTGAACATGTCACAGGTCTCAGTACCAACAATTGTTCCAAGAAGTCTGTTTGTGACTGTACTCTCTTTTTACTACTCTCTGGCGCTCATCCTAGCACCAGGAAATGGTATCTTAGGGGTCCTCTGCACTGTGACATGGTGTAGAGACATTTTCCTGCCTGCTAAGTAGCAAGGACAGCAGACTGTGTTTCTTGGTGTGACTGTCTTTCTTGATGCCTTATAGCTGGACCTTGCATCTCACTTCGTCCACGCCCTACTCAAAGAATTGCATTGCTCCAAGCCTTGTTCAGATGAGTTGAGATCTCTAAGGCTATAGATCCTGTGGTCTCACTAGGTGTTTCTTCCAGGTGTTGAGTATCCTTCTAGGGAAAATGGGATGCCTCTGATCTCCAGGCATTGCCATATTGCCATATACGTCCATTGCCTTTGATGGTCTCCTTGTGTACCTTTGAAGAGTTTGGCTCCATCTTCTCTGTGCCTTCATGCTATGCAGCTGAAGAGCAGCCAGAGCCTGAACAAGTTATTTTCTTTCAAGCTCTCCTCAGGTTTGCTGTGTTACTGCTTCCTCATCTCTTGTCTGCTGTTGGACTTGTTCTGTGGGGTCAGCATCTTACTTAACCTGGCCTGTTTTGGAGAGCTCAGTTTGGACATACTGTTGAGACGTCTTCACAGCAATATTTACTCTGTTTTAAGAAAAGTTTGAGAAAGGTTTTTTGGGGGTCACAGAGGTGTCCACTGCTTCCACTGGGCTGAAAACAAGAGGGAAAGCCTTCCTTCAGGTCTGTTGTTAAAAGTCTTGTGGTTTCTTCCATGTCTGAGCATTAGTAAGCCACTGTGCAAGTAAGACTTGTGTGCAAGGATGCATCTAATTGCTTACTGGGCTGAGCCTTCCTTTGAGGAAGGCCTACAACTGCCTGAGTAGATAATGGAAATTTCACTTATCCCACATTTCTCAGACATTTCTTGACCATTAACCAGCCTTTCTGGAGCTTGCTTTGGTAGTACCACTGTTACCAAAAATCGGTAAAAATAAAAACTTCATAACACTAATGTAGCATTAGTAAGCAGACATTATTTCGCCAGGTGCATGAGGGGATATCTCCTCTGAAATATCATGCATGCTGACTACAAAAGAAGCTCCTGTTTAGATACTATATTTTGTGTACATATTCACTGTTTTTTTCCCTGAATAAACATACATATAATAATAATTTCCCTCAAATCAGTAACGTATTTTCTCTCTTTTTTATACATGTGTTCTTCTGTCCTGGGAATCTCTTTGGTCATCCCTGGTCATCCCTCTCAAAGTCATACTCAACCACCCAGTCAAGTGGTAGAAGTTGGCACAACTGGGCTGGTTGCTTTCCAGTTCTTCTTCTTACAGAATGGGCATTGTGCAGTTCCACAGGCCAGTGGTTTTAGAAGAATAGGCATTGTATTAGCCTGCCAGGTGCAGACAATTTTTAATCTGGCAGCACTACAGCTATCTTTTGTAGTGCATAGCTGGAGCTATGTAGAATGGTACTTTTGGGCATGGGAAGGATTGTATGTTCTCTGTGAACAACGAGTTCCAGTTCTCACTGCTGTTTCAGGCAAGCTTAGGGCTGAGGCCTATGCAAATACCCAGGGACTGAGAGTTTGAGCTTATCCTCTTACCCCTTCTGTTCTTCTTGGCAAATCATCAGACATGAAGAGTTTTGCTTGTTGAAGGCCTGCTGCCCTCTGGTTAGCGGGGCAGCTCTGTGCCTTTTACTTCATTTTATCAGGTTTTCTTCAAGATGTAGCAGGGTAGACAGCTTGTTCATGCTTGGATTGTCCCTGCTTACTCTGCAGGCCTGAGTCCAAGACCAGCTTGTTCTGCACACTAAAGTACTTGCAATTTCTACTATTTAATACAGACTGAGATTTCAGCCAGGTGCTTTTCTGTGCTTTTATCACCAACCATTTTACAGCATGAGGAGTGGATGGTTCATTCTAGGCAGTTCTTGTCAGCATGAACACAACCTATTTTTCCCTGTTCTAGTCTCTCAGCCCCATTCCTTTAGTGACAGCTGTTGAAACTATAAGGAATCAGTCGGTCTGATTGGAAAGTGAGATGTTTTCTCTAACTACTGTAGAAGTTCATGGGGGTAGTGCTGGACTCTACAACCATTACTTTTCTGGTAGGCTTGATTCCTTATTGGAATAAACACTGTTGAGAAGGGTGCTTGTGATGTTTTCCAGGAGGTCCCAGAATTTGGGTCTGCTTCTTATTTGTCTTAGAAAGGAGTGATCCTCATCAACCAAACAGCAGGAGACTTGGGCAGCTGTGGCTGACTTCTACAAACTATATTCCAAAGAGCATTTCACTTTCACTTCATGCTAAGAAATAGAAAAATTATGACACAAGCATAGTAATTTTCATTGAGCCAAAGGATTAATCATCTAAATAATTGTGTTTCTAGGGTTAGCATGAGAAAAACTCCTTTTATACCCATGTAAATTCAGCCCCTCTTAGTGATTTCTGCTGTTGTTTTTTCCACCACAGGAGGACAGAGCATTTTTGTCTTCATGCAGCACCCTTCTAGAAGGACCCAGAGCTGTAGCTGGGCCTATTAACAAGACAGCATGCTCCCAGTGCTGAGTGGCTTCAGTGCAGTGCTGCCCAGTGTCTCTCCTCCTTCGAGGCCACCTGCTGGTGTTCTGTGAACTTTGACAAATGGCTGTGTCATTTGCAAAGCATTCAGCACCGGTGCAACTTTCTGTGACACACGTTACTATAGCTGTCGCCTGACCAGAGGAGTTCTAAGTTCTTTTGCCAAATGACATTGAATGGATCCTCAGGACCAGGATGAGGAGGGCCAGTAGAGCAGGAGAGGATTGAGCTTGGATTAATCACTGCTATAATATCATAGAACCATAGAATTATAATACCTTTTGGGACTCAGATATGCTGGCTCCTGCTCAGAGTGTGTTAAGAGGCAAGGTCTATAGGATTTCTTCCCCTTGAGAATAACTTTTCAGAATTGTGCTGACAGGTCTAAATTTAAAGAAACCCTGGTAGGACTGCTGTCTGAGGATAGAACATAAAGAGGAGTCTTCAGGTCCACAGAATAGTAAAGATACAAATGACAAGAACAGGCATTCAAAAAAACCTGGTACATTCCTATTCACTACAAAGGGAGTAGTAATTGCAAGGCATTTAATAGCTATGGGTAAATTCTGAATTAGCTCCTTCTCAGGAATCTCACAAATATCTTTGCTGTGCCATTCAGGTTAAAATCTGGGACATCCCCAATCAGTTGCTAAAAAGAAACATTACCACTCCAAAGAAAGAACTTCTTGGGCATGCTCGAAGAGTCAGTCTGATTGAATGGCATCCCACAGCTGATAACATCCTCTTCAGCTCTGGCTATGACTACAAGGTGGGTCTCTGCTCCTAGAGCACCCTGTTTGGCTTGGTGTTTTGAAATTTGTTTTAATTTCAATATGCAAGATGGCACTAAAAAGTTTGGAGCTTTCTTCAGGGGGAAATTCCATGGTGACCCAAAGGCAAAAGGATATTGCTATAAGTTCAAGAAGACTGTCTAATTTTCCAATCTCCTGATGAACTTCAGTCTACTCTGCACTTCTCATTTACTGAATTTGGTACAGCATGCAATTCCATCCACTTTTCTTTGTGCTACTGCATATATATGCACTGTTGTTGTCTATTTTTATGTATAAAATGTGGTTTCAAAGGAAATTAAAATATTGGACATTCTTAGCTGACACTGATACATTGCTGTTAGTATCATGAATTATTTGAAGTGCTGGAGAGCAATCGCTTATGATGGTAAGACCTATACATGTAGAGAAAAGACAAAGAAGTGAATAAAGTGCACAAAATCCCTGGTGTGAGGCAGCAAAGGGCTGATTTTTTTTTTTTTAATTATTTTTGCTTCAGATAATGATCTGGAACCTTGGTGTCACGGGCACTGTTCTTTCAAAGCCAGTGAAGATTCTTGATGCCCACAAAGATGTCGTCCTCTCCATGTCATTCAACACAGATGGCAGTCTCCTTGCCACTGCTTGCAGGGACAGAAAGATACGTGTGATAGACCCTCGTGCTGGAACAGTCCTACAGGTAGGTTGGGTTCAGAGGTTTATGGTCCATCTGATCTCATCTCTCGAAGTGTTTCCACTTCTGGGTGACTTCATTGCCATAAAAGATGATGCATCTGCATTGCCCAAGGCACCATATGGTGCTGTTTCCTTCTACTTTCCATTGTTGCTGTCATTGTTGAAAACAGGGATTTTGTATCTTGATACCACGTTCTGTGCTCCTTGAAACCTTACTTGGATTATATTGTTTTCATAGGTAACCTCCTTCAGCCCTCTGAGGGGCATCATGGGAGGGAATGTAGAGATCAGGTGGACAGATGGATGCAAGTGTACGTTTGTCCCAGTGACAAATGTCCCAATGATTGTTCTTGTTGCCTGGATTTTGTTGGCTATATGCAGCTGGCTGCATTTTGTAGCTATTTGCATAGATTTGTGTACACAGAAAGTCCTGCTTGGAACTAGTTAAAGACTGCTGTCTTGCAAATATGTGAATCAATAGTTAGGGAGGTGAGCTTGGCTAAGCTGGTCAGAGCGGGGTGCTGATAACACCAGGATTGTGGGTTTAATCCCCATAGGAGCCATTCACTTTAGAGTTGGACTTGATGATCTTTGTGTGTCCCTTTTAACTCAGAATATTCTATGATGTGTGGTTGAGCTTTTGGGAATGATTCTGTAGAGTTTAGTCCACTGTTTTCAGATGCCTGTGAAATCCTGCTCACCATTGTTCAGGTGGGCTGAGCAGATCTTTCAGATGTGAGTGAATGAGAGTTGGCAGGTAACAATGAAATGTCGCTATGCAACAGATGTTATCTTACTCATGCAGTGTCCTTTCTCATCTACAGGAAGGAAGCTACAAGTCTCACAAAGCCAATAAAGTGTTATTCCTTGGAAACATGAAAATGCTGTTTTCTACTGGAACATCTCGGTGGAATAATAGGCAAATTGCATTATGGGATCAAGTGAGTTGGACCAAAAATCTTAACCATACCAGCTTTAGTTTTCTCTCTTTTGCTGTCACTTTAACTTTCCACCTGCCACATACACAAGAATTGATTTATAGCAGCAATTCAGAAGTGATCTGTCAGATTCCTGAAGGATGATAGATTTTACTGCTGTGAGACACAACTGAGTTTCTGGAGAAGTTTTCAACATAGAAGCCTAAGATAACAAAGTGAATGCTGTGCCTATGTCCTGGGTTTGGCTGGGATAGAATTAATTTTCTTAGTAGTTGGCACAAGATTGTGTTTTGGATTTAGTGTTGAAAGCACACTGACATTTTGGGGTGTTGCTAAGTAGTGCTTACCCTAAGTCAAAGACTTTTCAGTGTCTCATGCTCTGCCAGTGTGCAGGTGCACGAGAAACCGGGAGGGAGGATATCCAGGACAGCTGATCTGAACTGGCCAAAGGGATATTCTATACCATAGAACGTCATGCTCAACTGGGGGGACTTGGCCAGGAGCCATGGATTGCTACTCAGGGACTGGTTGGGCATTGGTCAGCGAGTGGTGAGTGGTTGTGTTGTCCATCACTTATTTTTCTTGAGTTTTATCCTTCTCTCTCCCTTTTCTTTTCATTAGAGTTGTTATTGTTTTATATTTTGCTTTTTTTTTCCAATTACTGAACTGTTTGTATCTCAACCATGGGTTTACCTTTTTCTGATTCTCTTCCCCATCCTACAAGGGGAAGTGAGCAAATGGCTGCATGGTACTTAGCTGCTGACTTGAGTTAAACCACAACAGCCCACTACAAAAAGAAATTGTTCAAAGGACCTTGTGGTTACTGTACCTCTGACTTAACATGGCTCTTACTGGTCTTACTGGCAAACTGGTCCTGGAAAGAGAAATGAGCTCTAGACACAGCATACTCAGATGAAGCCCTCAAAGAAGAAAAGTGTGTCGGGTGTTTTTGATTTCTGACGATTCCTGATGGTAGAGTACTGAGGTAGTGCTTAACTGGTCATTTCCAAGACATCTGATCTCCTGTCAGGATGGCTGCTAGCCTTATGAAACCCTGCTCTCATTTACCCTATCCTATGCAATGAGATGTTTTTACTTTGTCAGCATAAAAATATGTCTCTCTGCATCAACCACCATGCAGCAGAGTCTTTTGTCTCTTTGTAGTGCTGTTATGCTTTGTTACCAGACAAAGCTGGTAGGCCTATGATTTGCTATGTTTCAGCTGTGTTTGGACGTGGCTTCTTTGCACACGTGAGAGGCAAAGCACTATGCTGCTGTCCGAAGGATTTCCACAATGCTAAGGAGTGCTGTGACACTTCATTGGTGTCATGTCAGGGTTTGACATGTTTGGTTTAAGAACACAGTGAGAAGATCTGTGAAGCAAGGTATATAAAGCCTCCTTAGGAACAGGGATTGGTACAGAGCCTGCCCAGCAGGCCTCTTTCTCATGTCCACACCCATCTTTGCATCTAAACAGAAGCTCTGGCTTACTGCAGCCTGCAGCTGGTCAGTTCTGCAGGAGAAAATGCGTGTTAGCCCTAATACAAGTTTATGTGAGAGTTGCCACATGGACAGCCACAGGACATCAGAATTTGCCCTGTCAGTCCTCCTAAAATCACTCCCTTCAGCAATGCAGAGATAGCTTTGTACAAGACATGCAAGCTTGTACATGTGGAGTGGTGTGCTGTGTCCTCCTACATGGCTTACCTGCAAAAGGCCAGTGGGAGGTTCTGTCCATGCAACAGGCACCTCCCTATTGTGCAATGCTGAGACTGCTTGGCTGATGCTCTTGTGGGTGGTGCATTGTGAAAGTATTGCCTAGACTAGTGATTTTGAGAGAACACGAATAAAATTCAGTGTGAATTTTATCCCTGTGTTGCAGGTGTACCCTGAAGGCCCCTTCATCTCCTGTGGTCTGGCCCATGTAGAGGCAGGCAGTGTTTCCTACCTGTCTATGCCATCAAATGCCTGAGGTGTTATAGTGGTAGGAACTTCAGTCAAGGCCTGGACAGGGCACCCATTTTACACCCACATAGCTTTGCAGCAGTCTGTGCATGGCCCCCTGCTCAGGGCTGTGGGTCATTACAGAGCTGTGCTCACATGCCACTGCCAGATGGGGTTCAGGTGAGGTGTCCTGGACTTGAGGTGACTGACAGGTGATTGCAGCTGACTCTTTTTCCTGTGTCCTGCCCAGAATGACCTTTCTGTGCCTTTACTGGAGGAGGATCTGGATGGCTCCTCGGGTCTGCTGTTTCCCATCTATGACTCTGACACATGCATGCTTTATGTGGTGGGAAAGGTAAGTGCTTTCCAGATCAGCAAATCCAGGCCTGTTTGGTTCTGCTGTCAGCCTGTGTTGTGACAGACTGAGGTCAAAGATGCTCCTGAAGCATGTTAACCTAAGGATATGAGCAGATGGAGTGGGGCCAGAGGGCGCTTCGTCATCAGGCCACATTTACCACCTTTACAGATGTCCCCTGTTTTATTGTGGAGAGGTACACAGCTGGGTCCTCATTCCTGTATAGGAATTTAAGGATAAACATTTGGTTCATTGTTGATCCTGCATGGCTTCTTCGGGCCAGGAATTCTTTTCAGACTGTCATGCTGAACAGCAGAGTCCGGCTGATGTAGATTTTCTTTGCCTTTAGGGTGATGGAAACATACGGTACTATGAGATAAGCCCTGAGAAACCATACCTGAACTACCTGATGGAATATCATTCTCCCTTACCACAGAAGGGAATTGGTGAGTGGCAGAATGTCTAATGTTATAAGAAGATTGTGGTTTCTTCATTTCAGAAGCTGCCAGAGTCTAGGACTATCCAAAATACTGTTTAGAAAAGATAATGGGTCAGATTCCTCCACACAGGTTTACAGGCACTTACAGTCAGCTTGCTGCAGCTCACCCAAATATGACAGGTGGTATTGGAAAGGGCCCTTCTGACCAGCATGGCTGGGCAGTTTTACTGTAGTCACTGCTACATGTTCTTTCACATACCTGGTCAAGGTGGAAAGGAGGATAGTCTGGATTTAAAGGTGGAGAATGCTCCTTGCCGTTTGCTAATCTGCTTCAAGATTTTTGTCTTTGAGCTCCACTTCCATCATTCCCACTCTGTAATTTCTCTGGTAACATCTGCTTCACAGCTTAATGCCTTCAGTCTTTATTGCTTGTCTACCTTCTTTTTTACTGACATTTCCTATTTAGAAATAGATCTCTGTGATTAGGTCACCTCTCCTCCCTTGGAGACCCTTGCCTATTAACTTGTTTGTGTACCCACTGTTTAACTAATTCAAGTCACAGAATTTAGCTTTCAGCTCTCAGACCTTATTGTTAACCCTTTCTGGAACCTTCTCTGGTCTACTCTGAGTCAAATTCCTCTACATGTTTTTGGGATAGTTAACACCGCTCTGCACTACCTGTGGTAACCCTCTGCTCTTGTGAGAACCCCGAGCTTCATCTGGGGTCTCATGTGGTGGTAAAGTCTCTCCTCCAACCCGTGCTTCTAAAGAAAAACTCTGCAGGCTTTTGCTGTTCGGTCTCAAGGCAGTTTATTGTTGGTTATCTAAAAGATTGTCTTCTCGGGCTGCAGCTGTTTGGTCAGCGGCCTGGGCAGAGGCACACACACACCCTGACATCCTCTCTGTCTGCTGTCTTCTTCTTCTCTCCCCTGCCCAGGGCTGCTGCTATCTTTTATATGATATATTACGTATTACATGTTTACATTTTTTCCCCAATACCTACTACCTATATTACAAAGTGCTTTTCTACTCTAAACCAATCCATAAATGCCAGCATCACCAAGAACATGGAGGCAAGGAAGAAGAAGAAGGAAGACAGGATCAGCCCACTTTCCTCCATCTTAGAACTTCTGACCCCCATGTACAAAGTAAAACCCCCCCGTACAGGTGCTAAAACCCCCCTGTACAATACTAAAAAATTTTCCCTCTACTTTGTAACTACTTTTACTATACTATCTAACCCTTTGTGACTGCTTGTTCCACCTCCAAATTTGGTAACTCATTCCATGGCTCAAACTCAAAATCACAGCTGTTTCCAGCTGTTTGCCAGGGTCTAAAATGCTTCTGACCAAGGCCTGGAACCTCTAAAAATGTCTGAGAGACATTTTGAGTTCCAACATGCTCTTAGAGAGCATTGGTATGGCTATTTGGCAGCACTTAATTTTGTGCCTGCAGGTTGCCTTAAAAAATAAATTAGAATGAATATATTATTTAAAACTTAACTGTAAGGATAGCCTCATTATTCAATTTTTATAATCCTTCTGGTACAACATCCTTATTTTTTGTTGTCATAGTCTCTTTAAAAATATTTTCATGCAAAGTAATTGTAGAGGTGTTTTTAAAAAGCCTATGTGAATCAAGTCTCCTTCCCTAACCTGCTTTGTTGAACTGATCAAGCATACTGCTAAGGTTATTGTACAAAAATTCCTTTTCCATATTACCAAAACAAAATACTGTGTGGAGGAGTGGAGTTTAGATTCACTTTTAGATTAATTCATAATGTAAAAAGCAATAGGCCTTCACGTAGAATCTACTGCTTAATGAAGTCACTGAGTATTAGTAGAAAGCTAAGCTTGGGTGCAATGAAGCAAGGTCTACAAGCACAGGGAATCTCTTTTTTAAAGGTAATTGATATGGATATAGCTTTGAACTCTACAAGCTGAGTGAGAAACCTACTGAGGTTATCAGGTACTTAGAGACCTTGTGTGGCTTAGCCAGTCTCTAAAACACAAATGGACAGAATTGATGTTCATACTCTTCTCATTCTTATTTCTGTTTTGGGACAGCACTGAGGGAGGATACTTACCTGGAAAATATTTCAGCCATAAATACCTCTTCTGGCATTGTTTAGGTGTCCTGAAATCACCTTCTTAGAGATCCTGATACTCAAATCCTGTGGCATTACCTGCCAGCTCTGCTCTTTTCTGTCTCTTTGGAGCCCATTAGAATGAATAAAGAACAGGAGGCTTAGCATGAAAACCACACATGTATGTAACAACATGATCTGACAGAAAATAAATTATTTAGTCTTGTCATTTGTGCCACTGAGCCAGTTTTGGATGCAGACCTCAAAGCATGCTGATGTGGTGCTGATGCTATGATTATTTCATTGTTTGATGACCCTTTTCACATGGCTGATGATATTAACTTTCCTAAGGAGATTTATAATCCATTTATTTCATGCTCTTCCCCCAGGAATGATGCCAAAGAGAGGTCTTGATGTGGCAGCTTGTGAAATTTTCCGTTTCTACAAACTGATTCCAACCAAAAGTCTGATTGAGCCCATTTCCATGATTGTGCCTCGACAGGTAAGTCAACCTCAGATCATGTTCTTATTGGAGGCAAATATCAGTGAAAAAATGAGGGCACTACCTCCTCTCTGTGATTCATGGGGACAGGAGAGTAGGTAGAACAAGAGATTTTCTGGCATGGGGGGATGTAGCTGGCCTGTTTCTGGAGCAGACCTGCCAATAAACCCTGTCTGGGTAATTCAAGAGTTACTCAGGAGTTAGGTCTCTGTCTAATGTCTGACTTTTAAGACATGCTGCCAGGTCTGCTAGCTGTCTGTAAATTTCTTGAGTAGGATCTGTTTGATGTAATGACAGAAGAGGGAGAGGAGTTGGAGCTGGTGTTGGCTGGCATAACAATCTCCTTGTGGAAGGAAGAAGAATCACCCTGGTAAAACAGGAACTATGAATTTATGGTTCTCTACCCATTGGTTACAGACAGTTGTTCTGCAGCATGTAAGGGATGACCCATTGCACTGAGGGTGATGTAGAGTAAGTCTCAGAGCTTGTGTCATTAGAAAAAGAAATATACCTTGAATCTGTAGCTAGCTAAGGTATCTCCTGTGTGACTGTGTGGGCATGGGAAATGTACAGTGCATGGGACATGTCAGTAATGTGCTTCCAGAAAGTAGAATATGAAAAGAAGTATGAGTTCCTTGAATTCAGAGACACAGGAGAACTAATGCTTATCGCAACTCCCTACCAGGTGTGTTCCTCCAGCTTTATTTCCTTGGCCAGTTTTTGTCAGTTGATAATCAGCTGATGCTTTGTGACTTGTCCATCCTTTGTATTCATGTATTCATACTCGGGATCATAATTTCATGGGAGTTGAGTTAGCCTATGTCAACCTCCCCCAGTCAGAAGACTTTACCAGCATGAATTAAATTAGGCCTCCAGATACAATTCCTCTGAACTGAGGGGAGGAGCAGAGAGGTCAAGAGCAGGTGAAAAGACTTTATGTCCATGCTGGTGAGTGCTTGTGGCACTCCATGTGCTGAAGGGAAATAAGTTCATTTCTCCACCACAATCCAATAAGACCTCTTTAAGCCAAAATCTCAATGGCATAGTTACTCTGGACTTTTGTTTGCTTCCAGTCTGAATCCTACCAGGCAGATATCTACCCCCTGACTGCAGCAGCCCAACCAACACTGACAGCAGAAGAATGGCTCACTGGGATTAACAAAGGTCAGTGCATGGAGAGCTCTCCAGCCCTTCAGCTCCCCTGTGGATGTGATAGCCTAGTCAGAGAGTGAGAAAACTAGATAAGTTTTCCCAGAATCAGCCTGGGAGGCTCTTTAGGGAGCTGGAGATAAACAGTGATAGCCAAATATTAAAAACAACCTGCAGGTGGTGTTTATCTATTATCTGTTTTCTTGTTTTTCTCAGAGGATTGTTTAAAAATTGGTGGCTTGTTAATTAGCAAATCAAATGAAATGTATTGATTAAATGACCAATCAGATCCAGTATAAAAAGAAGCGGTTCAGTAAAGATGAGTGGTGTTTATGCCAATTAGCCTTCTGACTACATATGTGATTTGTGACACTCTCCAGGGCTTGGGTAAGTTGCTGCCAGCTCTCTGGCCTATTACCTGCCAGAGAAAGAGGAAAGAAGGAAAAGGAGAGACATGGTAAATATGTCTGGAAGCTAAAATAATTTGTTGGTTGTAAATTCTGGAAGTTGCTCTAGTCAGATGCCTCCATGTTTATCTCTGAAAGAATTGGTTAAAGCTGGTTGTTAGAATTAATTGCTTACACCTGATTTTTGAGTGTGGTTTGGGAGTGCTCATTTATGTCCTCCCTCCCTAGAGCCTGTCTTGGAATCCTTAAGACCAGGCTCTGAAGCTGTGAAGTCCCTACCACAGTTTCTTGAGCCAGAGCCCTTCATGAAAGCTACTAACCTGAGCCAGCAACCAGAGGCACAAGGAAAGATGTCACTGGAGGACAAGCCAAAGCCAAGAGAGATTGAAAATGGCAGAAAAAGGCTGAAAGTGGAGGAGAGTCTGCCAGAAAATGAGCAAATATGCCTCTCCGATAGCTTCAACATATTTGAACGTCCACCACCAAAAACTGAAAATGAGGTATGAATGTCTAGGGTGAAGTTGGGACTACAGGGGAAGCTCAAAGCCAGATGATGAAAGAATGCCATTCACATGGTGGTGTTGGTTTCAGGGTGTCCTGTTGGGCCCTCCCTGGGGGTTCCCCTGTTGGGGGGAAACCCTCCTGGAGCAGTTCTGTATCAGGAAAAGGAGATGCACAGGACTTCTTCAGTCATCAGCTTCTTGTTTGTTACTGTCTTATCTAAGGTTTTGTGCACCATCTGTACTAGACTGCATGCTGGAAAAGCACCACAAAAATGGATAACGATCTCTTGTTACAAGGTCTCTTAAGACTAGATTATGTAACAATTAAGAAATGACACCTAGGTTATTTTCCCTTTTAACCCAATAACTGATCCCTCAAAGCCCACAATGCAGACTTTTCTGTCCAATTACAAGATATCACCCAAACCCATGAAGAAGGAAGAAGAAGGTGAAGAAGAATAACCTCCCTCCACCCTAAAACCTCCATCTTGTTCCCAGCTGCAACATACTAAAAATCCCCAAACCTAAATTTCTCACCCAAATGACATGCTATACTACTCTCTGTTTCATACTTTTGTGGACTGTAGTGTATCTCGAAGTCTTGGAAGCTTTCTCCATGAATGAGGGTCAAAGTCAGTGCTTCTCTGGAGGTTGGGACCCTTCAGAGCAGACAGAGAAATATTCCCTATGCCCTGGGTTCCTACATGGTGGCAATTACTTTGCAAGCCCGAGTCAGTGCAAGCTCTCTGTTCTTTGTGGCAAAAGGTCTGCCTGCCCCGACTGCCTCAAGGGAAGCAGAAATATGGCCCAGCAGCACCCCAGCTGAGGGGGTCTGGAAAAGAGGAGGCAGTCAGCATTCTCACTTCCTAGACATTCTTGTGACACAGACCTACCTGGTGACTGGCTGGACACAAGGAGGTCCTTGTGACCTCCAGGTTCTGGAGAAGAAAAGCCTGTCTTTGCTTCTACCTCCCCAATTCCCCATGATTTTAAAATTCTTTTACTATCAGTCCCAACTGGAAGAAGCAAAAGGACTTGTCCAAGGTCAGAGAAGGAGATGTGGCAGACACAGGAATTCATACTCCAAATACTTTCTGTGAAACACACACAGTCATAGCCCAGTCTAGTGGACAGCAGGAGCACAGCTGATGCTGTCTGCTAGTTGAAGGCCTCCTCCTTAGATAGTTCTCTCAGAAGTGATGTGACAATTCTGGTGGCATTGTCAGGTTAAGCCTATGTTTTCTTAGTGTAAAGTAAATGAAATGTGTGCTTTCTTACAGCTTTTGCAGATGTATTACCGGCAACGGGAAGAAATCCGTCGACTACATGAATTGATAATCCAGAAAGATGTCCAAATTAGACAACTGGAGCTGAAGCTCAGAAACCTCTGCATGGACACAGGCAATTACTGAGGTTACTGGCCTACAGCTCTTTGTACCCCTGGACACAGCGGGGGAGACTCCAGTTCTTGCAGATAACTCCTCCTAGGTTTTTTACTGGAGGTAAAATTGATATTTTAGGCAGCATGGACTTCCCTGGTTTGTGGTGGTCACATTTCCCTAATCATCACCAGAAAGCTTTTGGTGGACTTGCTGTGCTTCTTCAGGCTCCCCTTGCTTGCCTGCTCACCAACGTCGGAAACTTGTATATTAATGCTAGTGAGAGACTTTGGAAAATCTTGCTCTTCTGGTCCTGGAGAAGTTACATGCTAAGCTCTAGGAATGACCTGTTTTGCTGGCCCTCCACATGACAGGAAAATGGAAGACTGAAGGCAGCTACCAGCTCCTTTTCTTGCCCCGGGGCCCAGCAAGGTGGCTTCTGTGGCTGCTGTCCCCTTTGCAGGGAGTCCGCCCTGCTGCGCATCAGAGGCACCTCTCTAGCGCCACAGTGATCCTTACGCACCTCTCCACCTCACAGCGTGGCCCTGCCCACAGGTGGTTCAGGAAAGCTGTGGCTGCCCCGACCTGGTGCTGGGGGTAGTCCGGCTCTGGGGCTGCACTGGGGATGCCAAGGGCTCTTGTGGTAGGAAAAGACGAGCCAGCGGCTCTGCAAGAGGCCGGCGATGGAGCGGACCGCGGCCGCCAAAGGCGCCGCTGAGGGGGCGGGCGCGGTCGGAGAGAGGGGGAGCGGCCGGAGCCGGCGCCGAGGACGGGGGCAGCCTCTGTTGTGGCATATAGAAATAATGGAGTCAACTAAGTCCAGGGGATATGTCGAGGACACATCCTTGTCACCAGATGTGTTTTATTTGCTGCATTTTTTTGCTTATTTTTAATACAAAATAAATTATTTAAATTATTTCCAAAGTAAAGTAATTTTCCATGGGATTTTTACATCCTCTTGAGGCCTATTTCTTGTTCTATGACTGACTAGCATAGAGAATGGTTGGACACTATGGTTTTTATATTTGGGTTTTTTTGATTTCAGAATTTATGGAAAAGGTGCTTTGATTTAGGCTTTAATGAGACTATTTAATCAAAACTTCTTTTACAGAAAGTATGCCTGTAAAAGCCTGGACTGTGAAATGTATTTAAATTTGGAGCTTAACTGCAACCACTAATCTTTCTGGAAAAAACCTTGAGGAAACCGAGTTACGTGTTCATGATCTGTGCCTAAATAGTATTGAGTGATCATTCTAACAGTTTCAAAACTCCTGAAAGCTTTGTAAAAAACTGTTGAACATGGGGATAAAAAACAAATCTGTGCAATGAAAAGCAAATATAACTGAATAATAAATATATTTAGAGATTTACATTTTTATACATGCAAGACTATTGTTTTATTACTGTATTTTTGAAGTGACTGAAACTTAAGCTCAGTCAAGGTCAGAAGGGAGTGTCACATATTGTCTCTTTTGCTTGTGTCAAGCTGTGGCCTTACATTAGTAAGTGGGTTGTACACAGAGTTATGCAGATGGCCCTTTTTTTTTTACATCTTTCCCAGTTGCCCTTGATGCCACAAAGGGGTGGCCACTGCACGTTGTTCTGAATTGCTGTGTGTGCTGCCTTGAGTAATTCAGTCCTGTTGGAGATGCCTTCTTTGTGGTGAGGTGTTTGCTGCTGTCTTGCAGTCCTGGTTCTTCTCTTGTGCAGTACAACTCTGACCAGGATCTTTTAGATATTCCACATGAGGAGGGTTTAATGAGTTATTAGCAAATTTACTTATTTGAAGACAGGATTTTGACAGCACAGACAAAGCACAAGATAGCAGCTACTACCTCCAGCTAGGTCACAATACAAGCAAAATTCCCATTACACTTACTGTCATGATGCTGGGTATCTCCAGTCACCAGGAAAAAAATGTGTGGTCTGAAGCCAGCTCAATTCTGTAGCTCTCTTTAAAGCTCATTTCTATGTTTTTGTTTTGCTCTGATTCCCATGGGCATGGCAGCTGTGGTGAAAATCTGAAGAACCATCACCTGTGCTCATGTCCTTGGAGCTGTCAGTCACTGTAGCAGTTTGTTGATCTGTTACAGCTTTGGGCATGGAAATGCTCATGGCTGCATTTGTGATGTAATTTTAAATGTTTTTTTGTAGCATATTTTAGGCCAGTGTAAGGAGAAACAATGGTGGAATTTGCTGAAGGAAGACTGCTGAGAAATCAGTGCATCTGCCATGTCATCAGGACACTCTGACCTCCTGGTCTTGTAAGGAACCTTGTGCTGGGGAGAGTGCTTGGGCAGGCACTGTGGCCCTCCTCAGGAGTTGATACAGTCTCGCTCCTCAGACTAGAGCCTAGAAAAAGGCAGCAGCAGGCAGATTATTGTGGGAGGCAGAGGAAGAGCCTGCAGTGCCTTTGGAACCCAGGTGTTTTGGCTGTTTAACCTCAAAGACACAGTCCTGCAGTATTAGCTTGCCTGCTGGATTTGGAAACACAACACTTCACATCTTCACCCTCTACTCCAGGCCAGGTGTCAGCTGTAAAATAAAACATTGGCAGTAGTTGTCATTCTCATTTAATTTCTCTTCTTGGAAGGCTGTGCCCTTGGTGTGCTCAAGAAGCTTCGAGCAGAGGAGAACATGGAGATGATGCCCCCTCCTTTGCCCTGCAGTGGGAAGCAGCAGATCACCTTTGTTGTCTTGGACTGGGTAGCATCCATTCCTAGGACAGGGTGGCCGTGAGCTGCCGGGGGGCACTGAAGTTACAGTATCAGTAATTGCCTCTTGGACATCCTGCAGCACTATTTGAGAGCAGGATCTCTGAGCTTGTGCTGGAGACACTGCAGTCTCTCTACAACTTGTCTTTGTTGGGGAGCCCAGGGTGGGACTTGGCACTCCTCACATGCACTGAGGGTACAGGAAGGACAAATTCCTCTGAGCTGCCCTTAATGTACTTCTAAATACAGCTGAGGATAGTGTTGGTCATTTTTGCAAGAGGCCGGCGCTTAACTCAACTTAAACTCAGCTTACTGTCCAGCAGGACCTCACAGAACTTCCCTGCAAAGCTGCTTGTCATCTTCAAAAGTCCCCAGCATGTGCAGTGCATGGAGCTATTCCTCCTTACCTGCAGGATGATGCAAGTGCTGTGCTTTATCACATTTTTCCCTGTCCAGCTCTGCATTTCACCTGTTGAGTTTCCCCCAAAGTGCAGCACAGCTGTTTACTCCACCTTCCACGCCTTCCACTTTTATATGCTCTCTAAAGCTTGAGTCTTCACCGTCCTATTCTGCAGGTCACTAAGGGAGAGTTTCAACAGCTTTGGATTTGTTTTGTAAAGAGTTTTTGGTTTTCTGCTCAGAAATCTAGGCTGACTACTCCTGAGCACCTTCTGATTCTTCATGCCTTTAGAAATACTCTCCAAAAGGATTTTCTCCAGTGTCTTCCAAAGGATTGCATGAGGCTGTAGTTCATTAATCTTCCTTATATAGTTAGAAGACAGGGCTGAGAGTAATTTACAACTTTTCCCACCCAGCTCCACTTTTCAAAGAACACTGAGAGTGGCCTTGCAATGCCACTGGCCTTCATCTGCCTCAGCACACTTGGGTCAAACCCATCTGCCTCCACAAACCTGTGTACATACAGGATGTTGAAGCATTCCTTAACCTGCTCCTCCCTATTTTAAGCCTCCCTTATCTAGTATACACCAGGTATCTATTTATCTACCTCAACAATATCTGTTGTCCTCTGCCAGCTTTCCCTCTCCTTAGAACCTAGTTATGTTCTTTAGATTCTCACCATGGATGCTGTGCTTGTGCGAATCAAGTCTGCTATGAACAGCAGCTCTGCAACCAGTGGTTCATGCACAATTTCTGCTGAGTCCCCTTTGGGAACAGTGGAGAAAACTCCTTGGGTGCCCACACTGTTCAGCAGCACCCCTCTGGCCTGGTAGTTACACTTGATAATTCTCAGGTTGCCCCTGGTGGTGTCTTTGGTACACAGGTGAAAAGGCACTACTGCATAGTAGAAAGCCAGATGAGCCTTGGTAGGCTATGCACAACATTCTTAATGAAAGGCCCACACAAGCAGCAAACCTCCCTAAATGATAAATCTAATCAGCACATGTGGGGCTTCTGACCCCTGTAGTGGACAGCACTGTCCTCTAGCTATCACTTGTGACTTCCTTCCAGTTGTTTTAAGTGGCTCACATGCACCTAGGAAACTCCTTTCTGTTGGTCCTAACAAGGTGGGACTGAGACTACATGGTTAGAGCTACCATATTTAAAATTCTGCACCTCTGAGCTACTGGCAATTGCTGCTTCTGTCAGCAAAGTACTGTCTCATGAGTAAGTAGAGAATTAGAGGGAAAAAAATATGAGTTTAATTTTCTGTGTCATAACACAGCAAACATTATACCTAGTTCTCTCCAAATCCTTGTTTGTGAAAAAATGATGCACAATTATCTGTTTAAGGAAGTTCTTAAAATGAATGCATATGTAAATGAAGATTGTTTTTGCTTCTGATTCTCTCTCCTCTTGTTTTAGCATGCTTTATCTTCAGTAGACATGTGCACATCAAGTAACTCTGATCTCACCATAGACACCCCTTGAGGATTCTCAGAGGAAGGGGCTTAATAGCAGAAAGAGTTATCTGTGATGTTTTTTGTCATTCTCAGTGCTTAGTCATGAGATATGGATAGCATATGTGAGGGGCATTAGAAGTGGATAGAGGCAGCATAATTTTATTTCCTTTAACAGTAGAGAGTTTGGACCTTCATCTGCTTTGAATGTTGCCTCTTCCCTCTGTATTAGAGTGAGCCACAGAGCTTCTGCTTTGTGTTGGATTTGATGCTTTATATTTTCACCATCTTTACTCACATGGGTATATTTGATCAGATCTTGCAAGGTCTATGGGAAAATACCATCAGTACCTTACCTCAGCTTCAGGTCTGTGTGTTTTACATGCCAAAGTTAAATCTTTGCACTGATTCCATATCTCTGTAGCACTTGATGTGAACAAATTTGAGCAAGGAACAAAAAATTCTGGTGAGTAAACCTGAGGGGTAGTCTGTAGGGTAGAAGCACCTAAAACTAGAGATGTGTTTTGAATCAAGCCTTACTTCCTACTGATAGGCATTACAGAACACATCAGCTTCTTTGACTTAATGCAATCTGGAAAGCTTAATTTCTAGGTCAGTTACAGTGCATCTGATTGTGATACAAAATGTTTAGATACATTTTTTGCCAGGGCCTGGGACTATGGATTCTTCAATTTTCTCAAAGGTGTTCCTACAGAATTTTTTCACATGAGTTTACCTGAGCCTTTTACAGAAAGTATGTTTAATACATCCATTGTGATTTGTGAGGCAGCTTCTTTGGGAAGATTCAAATGAAATTCTGCTCAAGCACTGTTTTCATGAACAAGGGCACAGGATGCTTTGTCTCAGATGGAAAAGTGGTAAAAGTAGCAACATTTACAGCAAGGTGCAAATTAAGGAACTGATTTTACTTCCTATTGCTGCTG